GGAAAAGGTTTCACTGTGCCACCCTGGCTGGAGTGCAATGGCACTCTCATAGCTGTCACCTTGAACTCCTGGCTAATATATATATATTTTGGTAGAGATAGGGTCTCTATGTTGCCTAGGTTGGTCTCAAACTCCTGGCCTCTGGCAATCTCCCCACTTTGGCCTTTCAAAATGCTTGGGAGGGATTACACGTTAGAGCCATCACATCTGGCCTCCATGGCCCCTCCTTAAAGGGCTCTCTATGACTATGGCATGAAATCAATGCTGTGATAGAGGGGCCCACACTCCACTGCATCTCAGAACAAGGGAATGTCTAGATTAGATGTAACCAATTCAAAAGCCTACAGAGGCCAAGAAACCAATGTCAACAAGTGGGATAGTGGGGAAGGGAGGGTGGTGCTGCAGCTAAATGGAGAATGCATTTTAAAAATCATACCTACTTCTCAGCCCCAGCCAATTTTTGTCAGGCAGACAGCCCGATGTTTCCAGACCTCTCCAATTTTCATGAGAAGCAAGAAAAACAAATTGTTATGTGAACATTTTCCATTTATTTATTTGTTCATTTGGGGTTTTTTGTTTGGTTGTTTGTTTGAGAGGCAGGTTCTCCCTCTTGCTCAGGCTGGTGTGCAGTTGCTCAATCTTGGCTTGCTGCAGCCATGACCTCCCGGCCTCAAGAAATCCTCCCACCTTGGCATTCCCAAGCGCTGGGATTACAGGCAGGAGCCACTGCATCTGGCCTCACTTCCCATTTTTAGATGTTGGCAACTATTAAGCGTAAACAGATATATATGAGTGGGGACTCAAAAAATAACAAAAAGTTTTTTGAAGGGCAGTCCCCTTGTAGTACAGGCTGCCCCACTAGGTAATTGTTCTAGGACTCCATCGGCATCAGTGTACCAGCTAGGATTGTTATAAGAGGCTGTGTTTGGCTTCAGTGAATTTTTTTAAGGAGGTTCTTTCAACGTGTTTGCCCATTTCATGAGGGGTGATTTACGAGCACACCTGCCCACACCACACTGAGTGCTCAGCAGTTTTTGGCCAGAAATGGCATGACCCCCGTGCCCCAAACCTCCCTATTCATCTGATTTCACTCCGAGTGACTTTTTTTTTGTTTCTTCGGATGAAAAAGGTCCTCAGAGGGAAACGCTTTGCCGATGTGAAAGAGGTGAAACAAAAAACGGCAGAAGCACTAAAAGGCATCCAAATCGACAAGTTCAAAAACCGTTTTGAGCAGTGAAAAAAGTGTCTTAATCCAACGAAGAGTAATTTGAAGGTTGGAATTTATTTATAAATTCCAGTTTTGGGGGGGGCACCCCTCATATATACATACATAAATCCCGAGGCCAAAGAGGACACATCTGTAGGCCAGCACCAGCCCACAAGTGCCAGTTTGTGCCACCCAAGACCAGTCCATGGTACGATGGTTTCAGTGTGCGCCCTACGCCTCTGACCATACTAAGAGTGCTGTGCTTGGGCAACCCCCTCGGGTCCCCTCCCACTGTGGGAGCTTTTCTGTCCTCTCAATAAGTCTTAGTTTCAAAAAAAAAAGAAAAAGAATGCTGTGTTCAGCTGTGGGCACTAGCTGGTCTGGTGCATAGGCAGGAGGGCAGGATGGGAGGATTCCATTTCATAATTACAGATAGCCTTCCACATGTCAGGCCTGGGGCTATGTGCTAGAGATGCAGAAGGAAACAAGACAGATGCAGCTTGACTCTCTTGTGGAGCCTACTGCCTTGTGGGCAAGTGAAAGGATCCAGGGATAGTTTCCCTGAGAAGGCTCATGGAGGACAGATTTTTAATAATTATTATTATTGGCCGGGCTTGGTGGCTCAGCCTGTAATCCCAGCGCTTTGGGAGGCTGAGGTGAGAGGATTGCCTGAGCCCGATTCGAGACCCTCCTGGGCAACTTGGCGAGACCTCATCTCTACAATAAATAAAAAACTAGCCGGACGTGTCAGCGTGCGCCTGTAGTTCCGGCTGCTAGGAAGGCTGATGCGGAAGGATCGCCGGAGCCCAGCATGTTGAGGTTGCGGTGGCCGGGAGTGTGCCACTGCACTCCAGTCTGGGCGACAGAGTGAGACTCCAACTCAAAAAAAAAATTATTACTATTGTAATATTTAATGAGCTTTTACTTTGTGCCCACACTACCCTCCATGCTTTACCTGTGATTAGGTCACTTAATTCTTACCATGCTCTGAGGTGATATATAACTACTCTGGTTTCATATCATGAAAGGGTCAGGAAGGTCTCAGCCACCATACACCATGCAGAATGAGTCTCTGTGGTCCAGGAGAATGGGACAGGCTGTGGAATGAGAGAATGTACGTAAGAGGGCTAACACAGACCTTGAAAATAGAATTAAATGCTGAGTAAATGTTTTTTTCCCAGTTTCTGCAGCCACCCAAGAACAAGTCGTATGGTCATGTATGAGAATTGCTACAGAGGAAGGCTGAGTATCAGATAGGTAGAGACACTGCATGAACTTCCATCCATGAGAATTCAACTCCACTTTTCCTGGAATAATTATTTCCCCTCTTGGTAGTAATGCTGCAATGTAATTATCTACCATTCCCCCCACCCCCACCCCTACAACAGTAGCAATGGCCCCATGGATGAGAAACTAAGACCTAGGAAGAATATGGGACAAATTATGGGTGGACAAACCATCAATCAATGAACATTGACTGAGTGCCAGTGAAATGTGACGCATATTGTGTCAAGTGCTAAGTCAGTGTACACATCAGGAAAGGGGCATGAGAAAGGAGCTTGTGCCTGAGATCTCGTCCTGGTTTTGCCACTAATTTAGGAGGTTTCTCCTCAGTCTTGGTTTCATTTCTTTACAATGGGAGGTAGAAATACATCTCTAAAGACTTGTCCAGCTTGAATTATTGAGATAAATTATTTGCATTTAAAAATCAGACCTCAGGCCAGGTGCAGTGGTTCAGCTTATAATCCCAGCACTTTGGGAGGCCGAGAAGAGAGGACTGCCTGAGCCCAGGGGTTAGAGACCACCCTGGGCAACTTGGTGAGACCTCATCTCTACAATAAATCACGAAAATAGCCAGTTGTGGTGGTGTGCATCTGTAGTTCCAGTTACTTGGAACGCTGAGGCAGAAGGATCTCCTGAGCTCAGCCGGCTGGGGCTGCAGTGGCCATGAGAGTGCCACTGCATTCTAGTCTGGGCAACAAGAGTGAGACTCCAACTCAAAACAAACAAATAATAAAATTAGACCTTATATGTGGGAGGATTCAGCTTTCTTCCCAGAAGCCACGTAGGCCACAGAATCCTGGGAACTAAAAAGGACATTTGATATGATAATGGTCAGCCTAGGCACCCCCCCCCCGTGTGACCAGTGACCTTTAAAATTGTGGCTAGTAGCTGGACTTGGTGGCTCAGCCTGTAATCCTGCGCTTTGGGAGACTGAAGTGAGTGGATTGCCTGAGCCCGCAGGTTCGAGACCTGCCCAGGCAACTTGGCAAGACCTCATCTCTACAATAAATCAAAAAATTAGCCGGGCGTGGTAGCGCGCGCCTGTAGTTCCAGCTACTTGGAAGGCTGAGGCGGAAGGATTGCCAGAGCCCAGCAGGTAGAGGCTGCGGTGGCCGAGAGCGTGCCACTGCACTCCAGTCTGCGCGACAGAGTGAGACTCCAATTCAAAAAAACAAAACAAAAAACCCCCCCAAAAATTAAAAAAATAAAATGTGGTTAGTCCAAAATGAGGTGTGCTTCAGGTGCAAAACACACATTAGATTTTGAAGACTTATTTATATTGCTTTCTATGGATATTTTTAATACATTGTGTTAATTAAAATTAGTATAACTAATTTCTTTTACCTTAACATGGCTCCTAGAAAATGTCAAATTACAATGTGGCTTGCATTGTATTTCTATTGAACAGCACTGGTCTAAAGGGAAACTAAAGCCCAGAGGAAGTAAATGGCTTTTCCACAGAGCCAGGCCTGGAACCAGGGTCCCCCGGCTTCTCATTCAAGGATCTTTCCACTCTTAACTGTGGCAGCCAGTCTCCCAGATGGCCCCTTAATAACCCTGACCTTGTTGCCTTTTGTGAAGTCCCTTCCACACTGAACAGGGCTCATCTGTTAGGAAGTTGCAGAAATGACAGTGTAACTTCCAAGACAGGGTCATAGAAGACACTGTGGCTCCCACCTTATCCCACCAGATATCTTTCTCTGATACCATTTGCTCTGGGGGAAGCCAGTTGCCCTGTCATGAGAACATTCAAGCATCCAAAGGAGAAGTCCACATGGTGAGGAATTGAGGGCTCTTGAAAACAACTCTAATCAACCAGGCAAGTGAATGAACCATCTGGGAAGTTACTCCTCAAGCCTTTAGATGACAACAGCCCCAGCTGACATCTTTTTCTTTGAATTAGGGTCTCATTCTGTCACCCTAGCTAGAATGCAGTGACATGATCACAGCACAGCTCACTGTAGCCTCAAACTCCTGGGCTCAAGCAATCCTCCTGTTTCAGTCTCCTGAGTAACTGGGACTACAGGCATGTACCACCAAGTCTCTCTAATTTGTGTGTGTGTGTGTGTGTGTGGAGACGAGGTCTCACTACGTTGCCCAAGCTAGTCTCAAACTACTGGCCTCAAGCAATCCTCCCACCTCAGCCTCCCAAGGTGCTGGGATTACAGGCATGAGCCACCACACCTGACATCTTGACTGAAAGTTCATGGGAGATCCCAGCCTATAAACACCTAGCTAAGCTTCCCCCAAATTCCTGACCCACAAAAAATATGTGAGATAATCAATGTTTATTGTTGTTTTAAGTCACTAACTTTTGATACTTTGTTATTCAGCAATAGATAACATACACAGCCTTGTAAACTTACAGGTCTCATACTTAAAAAACTCATTTCTATCTTTGGCATCTGTACAATGTGAGAAATTACTCTTGTCTTTCTCCTAGCCTCTGGCCTAACTCAAGGTATCCCAACCAAAAACAGTCAAATGAGCAAACCAGGGAAATCCAAAAGGAAGAAAAGATTCTATTTTATTCTTAGAATAGGCTTTTCCATTTTTCCTTTACTGCAGAAAGCATGCCAAGTCTCTTGTAAATGAAAGCATACCAGGTCTCTTGTACCACATTGCATCACCTTGACCTGGTCCATCCAGAGATTTGATTCTCACAAAATCAAAGGAACCAGAACCCAGAATTACCCAGTTACATATAGTACTGATATGGTAAAGTAACAAATAATTGAGAAATGACAATCTATGACATCTGGATTTCTCTAAGCTGAGACCCTGGTATCAATAGTAGTCCTAATGTTTCAAATAGTGTGTGTTGCTTTTTGTAGTGTCTTCACATCCGACAAAAATCTGAGGTAGGTGGGAAAGATATAAATAAAGCAGGATACTTATGGAAAAAATGGCTCAGAGTTCACTGCTTGCCCTTCGTCTCATGGTCTCTGAGTGATAAGTCAGGTCTAGGATCTCGGCTTCGGTGGATGACTCAGGTCAGACTTAGTCCTTTCCAAGGCAGTACCATCCTGGCTGTGATATCATAGACACTCTTCAACTGGGGCTCTCCTCTGAGATCAGTGTGCACTTGTAGGTTTCCTTAAAGGCCACAAGGAAAGCTGGCACCACTTCATCCACAGTGACGTTCCTCTGGAGCTCCTTACTCAGGGAAGTGACGCCTGTCCCGACCAGCCCGCAAGGCACAATGTGCTCAAACCACGAGAGATCCGTAGAGCAGTTCAGAGCCAGGCCGTGGGACGTGATGTGCCTTCCACAGCGGACTCCTGCAAGGCAACTCAAACGGTCTTAGAATAGATGCGCTCCCCGGGCTTCAGGATCCCTCTCAGTGCGATGGGAGAACTGGATTAAATCACTGTTTTTCAAATTTTGTTTCTGGAGCAGCAAGGGATTGGGCACAGATGGGAAAAGGGAACAACTGGGGAGGAGGAGCGCGTGGATCTACAGATGCACTCATTATGGGAATTCCAGGAATGCCCCTTAACGTAGAGTTTCTGTTGCTTTAAAACTTTTTTTTTAATTAGCACACTTATTGCGAGTCATAGGCAGTAAGTAACCTGGCAATTCACTTCTCCTATCTCTTCATTCATAAAAATGCAAGTTGGACTAATGACCTGTGAGAACGCTCTTGTCTCTGAAAACAAGATCTTTGGGGATTGTCCTAAACGCTACTAAAAGCAGCAGGTAGTTCTGGCTCAAAGTCCGCGCCAGAAACACCTCCTTCGGCCCGAGCCCTACCCCCACCTCCATTGGCCCGCCAGGCCCCGCC